TACACTATCTACTCAATGTTATCTCCCTATGCTCACAGCGGTCTTCCCCTTTGCTTCAGTCTAGAGTCAGTGTGGCCCAGTCAGGGAGCCCTGGAGTGGGGAGGCAGGAGCTCTGGGTTTTAATTCTGTCCTTGTGAGTTGGAGGACATCACTTTCCCACTCTGGGTCTCCGCTTTCTTGTGAGTAGACAGAGAGGGTTGGACTTGTTGACCTCCAGGGGTGTAGCCGGCTCTGAATCTGCTTTTAGGGGTCCGAGGTGACAGTCATTTGTGTTGGCTCCTGTAGGCACATCTTTTCCTAAAGTGGGACTTGAGATTTTGCAAGGGGGTCTGAGGTCCATCCCGGTGGGCAGGGAGGGCAGGGGAAAGGACAGGGCCAGGTGGTGGCTGGGGTCCATAGCTCACATGCAGCTTTCCGCTTCGGTCCCAAGAGCTAAACTGTGCTTTGGAAAAGCCCGCGGGGTTTGCCAAACCTGAAGGTCACGGCTGCTGCACCAGAATGGGGCAAAAAAGGGGGGGGCTTGTGAGCTTTGGATTAGAGATGGGGAAACTGAGACCAGAATAGTGGCAGTCCAGTTCTACCAAAAACTGGATGAAAAGAAACAGACTTGGACTCACGGGGTGTTTCAGGTTGTGGCCTTGGGAATCCGCTCTTGAACCTCTCGCCTGTCCTCCCTACTCCAGGATCCAGAGTGGTCATCTGCAGCACCCCCTTGGCTTGAATACCACCATTGACGAGAAGCTCATCACTCCGCAGGCTGGGCACTTATGCTGTAGCATCAGGCGGGTAGTTGACGAGCCAGAGCTCATATTCCAGCTCCTAAAGTTGAATTCTTCCTGGGGAAACAAGGTCACCTCTCTGCCAAGGGTTCCGGACATTGTTTCTTTTTTCTCGAGAATGACTGGGTGTGGAGGCCGGAGGGTGCATGTCTGTGTGGGGGACTGTCTCAAACGCCGTGATAGCTGTAGCCCAGATGTTTCCGTGGCTTCTTTAGCTGGCGGCTGAGGGCTTCTGTGGGAGCAGTGGGTCCCAGAGTCCTCACTCCCTCCGTGGGAAACCATGCATCCCTCCACCTCTCTGGGTAGGCTGTGTCTGGGGTGCTCTGGCAGAGCATGGAGTGGATGAGTGGGGGTCGTACAGATCCAGGAGGGAGGGAGGGGGCAGTGTGGGCAAGCTCCTGCTCTCAGGGTGAGCTGTGAAGAGGCAGGGAGGCAAAGCAATGAGGAGCCCTTCCCAACGCCACCGCTCACCAAGGGTCAGCCGTCCTCCTTTGAAAATGGACAGTGAGGCTGGACCTTACAGGGTTGTTGGGTGGTTGGTGCTTCGTAGATGCTTCGACATGTTAACAAACAGGGGTAAAGGAGAAGGTGAAAGAGTTCCTGGGTTTGGTGGGAAATACTCTTCCTTCAAATTACGGTTTTCTTCCTTTCTTTCCCTTTCTTCCTCCCTCCCCCTCCCTCCCTTCCTTCCTCCCTCCCTCCCCCTTTCTTTCTTTCTTTCTTTCTTTCTTTCTTTCTTTCTTTCTCTCTCTCTCTCTCTCTCTCTCTTTCTTTCTTTCTTTCTTTCTTTCTCCAAGAATCCCTAGCAATCTGGCAAAAACTCACGGACCCCCTTTTCAGACTGTTTTCAAGTGCACAAAATATATGGGATGACAGAGGGAAGTAAGTTGCATTCAGAGAGCTATCAAAATACAAAAAAACAAATTGGTGATGTAATGATACAGGTTGTTAGTTGTTATTGTATTAACTAGATCACCCAGTAGGTACATTAAGGTTAAATTTTATTTATTTACTTTTTTAGAGAGAGAGTGAGAAAGCACCAGAGGGGCAAAGGCAGAGGGAGAGAGAGAATCTCTGAGCGTGGAACCTGACACAGGGCTCGATCCCACGACCCTGGGATCATGACCTGAGCTGAAACCAAGAGTCGGACGCTTAACCGACTGAGCCACTCAGGGGCCCCACTGATGTGTCTTTAAAAAATAACATTTGGGGG